TCTAATTTTACTTTTCTCTTTCTTTCTTCGGTATGGACAACTGATGCTCTCTCCCTCCGATGTAAGTGTACGCTCTGGAAATGCAGCGTTAAGCCTCCCCCCACCCCGACTGACTGCCGCCCCTAAGCCCTTCCACATAGATCTACGAGGTCCCTTCTGTAAGTACCTGCACACTGAAAATCTAGGACTGAAAATGTTAAAGATGAAGTCACTCTGTTTCTGTCCAAGCCCCACTCTGCATCCCAAGTTTCCTTCTTGGCTGGATCCCAGGTTCCCCACTTCTCCCCTGCAACAGACTGCAGGGTGTGGCCTGCTGGCTGGGCCACCCAGCCTCTCCCCTCCCCCTCGCTGCTCAGGAACTCCTGCTGCCTCACCCAGGGGACGCCTGGGTTCACAAGGGCCACCTGAGACGCCCAGCTGCCTCACATTCAAGGCACTGACCTTGGTCAGCCACTGTGGCCAGTTTTCACCTACATGTTGCCAGGTGCCTTTCTGAAGTGCTCTCTAAAGGGACAGAACTAATTCTGATCCAAACTAATTCTGTTTTTACTGGGGAGAGCGTGATGAACAGCAAATTTCCCTCAGTGACGGATTCTTTCCGGGGTTCAGATCAGGAAATACAGGCAGTTTCTTTGTAGCGGACAGCTGGCCCTTTGCCTCTCACAGCCACCGTTGGTGAGTGGAGGGTACTTCAAAAAGTTCATAGAAAAATTCATGTTATCTTGTAATTCTGTTTTTCCACTAACTTTCTGGTGCATTCTGGTATTGTCCTGCCTGGCAGCTTTGGTTTCCTGACACAGTCCTTTCAGCTGTTTTACTCTAGTGTGAGTGTGGGTCTCCTGCTTTAAGCTCCCTGCTGGAGTTATGAGAAAGTCCCCCTCGTCCCAGCCTGTTTAAGAGAGAACTTGCCCCATTTTGGGAGTCCGCAGACAAGGCTCTTCCTGTCTCCACAGCTGCTGTCCTCTGTCTTGCTGTCAGATTGTGAGCCACTCCGCCACACTCAGTTTTTATCCAATTGATTGACATAAAAACCGATATGAAATGAAGCCTGACTTAACTGGGGCTGATTTGTGGGGGTGGGGCAAGGTGCATAATAGATGCCATTGATAACAGATGGCTGGTCAACATGGATGTTGCTTTGTGTTGGGATAGAGTGTGATGTTTTAAATGGTGATTGGGATGAGTGCAGAGGGCCCCGAAATAGTCCTGACAAACTTCAGAATCCTGGAGGGTGTGGTTGTTCTAGGAAGGAAAGCTGCCTTTCTCTGGAGCCCGTGTTTTTTTCTGGCCTGTAGCTCTCTTAGAGAAGGTTGGGGATCTCAGTGATTCATCTGCTCCTGAGCCTCTGCACAAGCACATTAGTTCATTTTTCTTTAGCCTCCTCTGTGTGCCAGGCAGTGCCATTTTAGCTCTTTAAAATGTTTTCAGTGAGAAGCCCCCCTATTTGTGCTGGAGATTGCAGCTCGGGTCACATTTTGACAGAACAGGAAGAAGCAGGCTAGCAAATGTCTAGTCCAGAATGATCCAAGAGCAGCTGCCCGTGGTGTTAGGGCCTGTCACTAGGACCAAACCCACCTGTAGACTCTCTACATAAAAGAATCATAATGCAAATCATAAAATGCATAAAATTTATCTCTTTGTTAGCATATTACATGAAATGGTTGTCTAAGATTATAGTAAACCTTGGGAGATATTTTTAGGACAGCCTGATTTAAAATAGAGAACTTGTTACATATATTATGTTTACATAAATTAGAATGTCTGCCTTGGACAGGGGAAACAAATAGTGGTTTCAATTGTGAGCCCCAAAAGAAAAGTCACAAGGTACGTGGTTGTAGGAATTCATTTTGGATCACTCAGCTTCTCACATGCAGGTTTCTGAACAGCATGATCCAAAATGAGTAAAAGCAAAGGTTTATTAAACAACAGTAACAGCAATAACAGGAAAAATACTGATGTCTGTTACCACTGGTTAAATGCTTCCTGTAGTCCAGGCTCTATTCTAGGGACTCTGCATGTATTAATTCATGTATAATATATAGGCCTTATGCTTCTCATTTTAGAAAGACAACACTGAGGTTCAGAGGGGTTAACTTACTGACACTTATTCAATATACCTAAAGAGGGGTGTATTTAAATACACTCTTGAAGAAGTGCAAAAAATGTTTGAATCAGACTCAGAGTTTCTGAGATTTCCTGTGTAAAGGGTGCTTAGTGAATCTTACAGTGTCCCCACCTGGGGCTGACATTTAGAAGGAGCCTTACTATGGCAATCTTTGTCCCCTTCTTTTCAGCTTCCTTCTTCCTGGCTCTGACATCAGCCCTCTGGATGTATTCTCACGCCAGAGAGAAGTGCATAAGGTACTGGTGTGATGGAATCGTTAACTCCTATATGACACTTTGTTCCTGATGTGTTTTCTGCAGAAACCCTGCGTCGCCATGGTGCACCCCTGTGGCCTACTCACCCGCCAAGAGGAGCCAGGTAAGCCTGATTCACGACTCTTATTTGCCTCTGTATCTTTGTTACCTAGTGCAATGCCTGGCCCGCAGGAGGCACTGTATTACAGCTTCTGAGCCCTTGAACTCTGGCCTATCCCCAGTGCCACTGAAGAGCATCGCTGTGACCTTGTCCATTTGTGAGTTTGTGGCTGGTGTGTCTGCAACTTTAAACTATGAGAATGAGGAGCAAGTCCCTTTGGAGGCCTTCTTTGTGTTCCCCGTGGACGAAGACTCCGCCGTGTGCAGCTTTGAGGCCGTAGTGGACGGGAAGAGAATCGTGGCAGAATTACAGGACAAGACGAAGGTACTGGGGACGAGTGCGTTACCTCCGCCTTCCTCATCCTCCTTTCTGGCTTCCTCAATGCATACTCTGTAGGATCTCTATCCCACAACTTCACAGAAAATGCTCATGTTGAGTGCTCTTTCCTCTACTTTCTTCTAACTGCCATTTTCCTAAAATCATTTTTGGGGACAAATTAATCAGCGATTTGGAAATAAGGCCTCTGAAAACTGTTAAGTAAAAGAAAATAAGTTATACAGACATATTGTCACTATGCATTATGAAAAAACTTGTAAAAACACAAGAAGCATGCAAGTAATAACTTTGATTAGATTAAGATTGAGCTTAGTTTCTAACTTTTTTTATTGGTTATGAATATCCATGAGATACAAAGCTGGTTGTCGCCCCTTGTGCCCAAGATGTAAAGGCCAGATTCATACTGGCAGCCTGCCCATTACCACAAATTGCGTTTGTACCCCATGTCTCCCACGCAATTATCCCCAACCTTCCTCCACCTGCCCCTCTTCCCCCAACTCCACTTTGAAGAAGGAAAGAAAGAAAGACCACAGTGGTGCATCGGACTTACTTTCTTTTTTTAAATCCATGAGTCATTTGAAGTGTAGCTGTGAACTTGGCAAGACCAGTCACAGTCCCCCACC